CCACACCGAGAAGAGCAGACGCCTAAGTTGCGGGGGGCTGTTATGGGATGGCTGCGCGGCCCCTAGTTGGGCCGTGTGTTGAATATCAGCATTGCGAGCAAGTCTGACAACCGTTACCGTTACCATTTCTAACGTTTCTTGGAATGCTGGATTTGCGATGGCTCCTCGAGGCCCATACACCCTCGTGGGGCTCTCCTCAGCAACCAACACTGAACGGGTCAGAGCCAACAAAGGACAAGTCAGACAAGACAAAGAATTGGTATCCGGGTATTTTAATTTGGCGGCGTCCGGCAACCTTGTTTTGACTCCAACGTCCGTTGGGTTGTGCTAAGTAAGGTCGCAGATTGCAGCAAGAGCCCTTCACAAGAGTGGCATTGGGCCTGACGGACATGACCCGACTATATATTGCCATGTCATTTGAGTCATGTTCCCGAATGCGTAGCGAAGGGTTCTCGTTTGACTCTTGGGGGTCTGGGGGTAGAGCCTTGTTCGTGACCCGTTGTTTCTAAGTTCGCAACCGTCCGCAACCGTCCGCAACCGTTCGCAACCGTTCGCAACCGTTCGCAGGTGTTCGCAGTAGAGCCCTAAGGCGCTGCCATTGGGGGAAGCTTTTGCAAGTGACTTTTCATTGATGCGCCACGTGTCAGTTTGCACCGCTATTACATTGTGATTTGCATGAAAATGATATGTCGCGCAAGAAACGTGATACATTTCACTGCACAGGCGCAGCGTTTTGTGAGATCCGCCGTTTGCTGCGCAGTTACATTGGGATTAGCGTTTGGAGAGTGATGTGTTTGGGGTGTTGGATGTGGCCGTGCCATTGGGATTTGCGTGTGAGGGTGTGGCATTGAAGCTCTGTTTTCATGACAAGTCTCAGCTGAAATGGCGATTTTGGTGGCCGGGAGTATGCTCAGAATGGGTCGAAACCATTCCAAACGTGTGGCGTGGTGCAAATTTTGTTGAAGCTTGCATGAGATGATATTGTCACTTTTCGTGGCAGGCGCAGCACTTTGTGAACCTCCATCTGCAGATTTCGTGGCAGGCGCAGCACTTTGTGAACCTCCATGTGCAGACTTCGTGGCAGGCACAGCGCTTTGTGAACCTCCATGTGCCGATTTCGTGGCAGGCGCAGCACTTTGTGAACCTCCTTTATCCCACAAGAGTTTCCGACAAGAGTGTCCCACAAGACTGTCCCGCAACAGTGTCCCACAAGAGTGTCTCACAAGAGTGTCCCTCAAGAGTGTCCTACAAGAGTGTCTCACAAGAGTGTCCCACAAGAATGTCCCACAAGAGTGTCCCACAAGAGTGTCCCACAACAGTGTCCTACAAGAGTGTCATTTGGGCATATGGAACGTGTTTGCATTCGGGTTCGTGGGTTCCATCTTGTTTTTTCTGTGCCGATGATATACTGTAAATGATTGTGCATCGACTTTGCCGGATGGCAATCGTGGGACAAGGCCAGCCCCCACCACAGCTCTAACTGCTCCCCGTTCAAAAGTTCAGCTTTCCCCGTTTGCCTCCAGGGAAAACACAAGAATGTTTTATGCGCGCAAACCAGCATGCACTGGAACCTGGCAATCATGTACGCACATGTTTAAATGAAATGGCGCCATTCGGGAGTTGCTGCTGTTTTGCGCTTTCCAGTTTGCACCAGGACTCCTTCTATAGTGTGTGGGCAGACCGTGTGGCGACACGACGTTCGTAATGTCGCAGTGCCATTGGGATTTGCGCAGCCTTGGTGGAAAGTGCGTTTGCGTGGCGCCGTGCCACTGGGGAGCGCGAAACAGGCTGGCGTAAACGCGGCGTGTCGCTGGTGGTGGTGTTCCCGCGGGATCGCGTTCGTGCCGGGAGACTGGATATGTTCGCTTGGACTATCTGCCTGCCTCGATTACCTTGCGTATTGAGGCCTGGGTCTACAGCTATATATAGTATGAAGGTCTTGTCCTGCACAGTACGTGAACAAAAGTTTTTTGTGAATATCTGTTTAATCTAACACTCGCTTCTATAGGAACCATGCGTCTCTGAGTCACACCTGACTTGTAACAGGATCAGCAAGAAGATTATACTGGACAGCTTCTGCCTGGAGTGTGGCATTTAGAACCGAGTGAAGATTCTTTCCGCGTGCAATTGCATCGCAAAGGAGCCTTGATGTTGGATGTTACTCGGATACAGTATCCTCTTGCTCCGCTGGCTGCTGGAACCTACAACAATGCCCAAGGCAAGACCATCAAAGGAGTTGGGCACACGATTGATTTTTCGAAACCAGATTATTTTTCGGCAGACGATTATACGCAGCACTTGTACATGATTCTTGGACGCGCTCAAGCTCTCGAGTATTCCTTATTTCGCAATTTACCGGAGACGCCAGAAGGCGATATTGATTTTTCAATCTTTGAGACTGGTCCACCTGCATATATTGCCGAGTTTTTGGATCGACTGGAGGACTCTGATGCGCTTGTTGGCTTGTTTAATGTGCTATGTTGGATATCCACGGACTGATTCACACTGCTCGAGTGATAACATATGAAATAGCCACGAGTCATACCATCCGCAACCGCGCGTGTGTCGATCTTGTATCATTGTTTGCAGGAGGTTGCGCTTTTGTCTCGCTCCGCAATCGAAGAAGCTCGCAGACATCTGCCTGGTTTTCCAGCCGCGGAACACCTACCGCGACCGACCCGCAGAACACCAGAGGGTCGCTTTCAGTACGTCCCAGGGGCTTGGACGGCGGCTACGAGGGCGAGTGTAGTGACTGAGTTCAGGGGAACCAAAAGGAAGTACGACCCCACCAAGTGGCGTCAGCTGCGAACGGATTTCTGCGACATCTGGTCTCTTGTGCTGGAAGAGGTGGCCACTCCCACGGCACAATTTTTCCGAGAACACGGGGCTCTGCGTGTCTTTGCCGCCGAAGCTGGTGGAGGCGGCGATTGCTTCTTCTTGTCCACTGCGGTCGTCCTGATGCAGGCGCGAGCGGTCCACCCACGACTCTTGAATCTTTTCACTTCCGATGAAGTGACTGACTGGGACGACCGAACTACGGTCGCGGCTGCTCTCCGCAAGATTGTCGGGCAACACATGCGCGCCAAGACGCCAAAAGCATTCTTGAACTTCGTCGTCGGGTGTTTGGTGCGCGAAGCTGCGAGGACATGGCTGGACGACTGGTCCATGATCGCACTCTTGCGTGGCTCTCCTTTTGCTTTCTTGAAAGACGCCAACGATGTCCTCGGAGCAGAAGTTGTAGACGACGCCATGCTAGTTCGCTACAAAGAGGGCGACAGCTCCGTGACGAGGAGCAAGAGAGTGCGTTCTGGCACTGCGGCCCTGGTGTCTTTGCAGCATGCCGTGAGTGCTGCTCTCGAAACTTGTGGGAATACTCATTGGGCAACAGACGTCGACTTTGTTGCGTTGGCCACGGAGCTCAATCTTGGCTTCATCATTGCTGGAAATACTTGGACCCAGACGTCTGTTGTTCGAGGCCCCGGTGACACATCTAACAAACGCGTGTGCGATAAATCCATACGAATGTTGGACTAATGACATAACCTATAGGATAGTTTTCTTCACTTCCGTTGTGTGTGTCTCATATACTTCTTGTCGATGCAGGCGAACCACAACAACGCACGGTCTTACACTCCTATTTACAAGAAGATCAGACGCCGCAGTTGTGGATTTCTCTGTATTATGTGGACGGTTATCATTTTCAAGTGCTTATTTTCGAGATTTTGGGACAATGCCATTGTTTCTCTCGTGCCGCGGATCTGCCAGAACCTTTACGCCAGTGCTTGATTTGAATGCAAAACAAAGACCCTTCATGATGAAGACGGAGCTTGGTGGTGAAGTCCCCAGCGCATGCTGCCTTGGTGGTGGAGTCCCCAGCGCATGATGTCCAACAGCGTGCCAGAGAGTGAAAAAGAGATTCTGACCGGCTATGTCTCTTTTTATACGCAGTGGTTTGACGTATGTGTTTGCATTCGGGTTCGTGGGCTCCATCTTGTTTGATAGGATATTTTTCTTTTGATATAATATGTGTTTATTTTCTTTTTGATAGCCCAGGCCCTGAGTTTATCAGTTGGCATTAGTTGAAATTTCTTGTTTCATCTTGTTTCAGTGTAGCCACTTGACGTGGAAACAGGGGTGGGGGTTGGGGGGGCAGGGTCTATCGAACAAAAGCCTGAAGACAATGACCATGACCCACAAAATGCGTTGAATGCATTTGAAGGCTGTAGTTTGTTGCCACACCTGACACCCTTTCGCAACACATTGACAAATGACTCAAGCATGGCGGACTCTACCACTTCCGTTCGTCCCTGTTCATGGTGGACTCATTGACAAGCTTGACAGTTCCAGAAACTCGTTCAGTGGGGAGAATGTGATTGCCAACTGAATTTCCAGAGCAGCATTCTGCAGTTTGGTTTCTTTTTGTTGCGCGTCGTTTTTGGGGCTTTCTCGCAAGGAGCATTGGTGTTCGTTTCCCGAACCCCTGAAATCTTCTGTTCTAGTAGATGTGTTTTACTGTACTTGGATTCTCTGGTTTTTCCAAGAACATTTGTGCATGAACAGGCTTTAGGACATAAATGTTTGTACATTGTTGTGAACCTGGATCATTTCCCCCTCGCCTTTGCATGCTTAGAGTCATGTGCATGAAACATCGTTTTGGGGTTGGTTGCAGACCCAAACACACTGTACACGTGTTGCTGCAGCTGGGTGAGACACAAACCTTTGCAAATAAAACGGTCTGCCAGGGCAACAAGACATAATATCAAAAGCACGAGAGAACAAACAAGAAAAACTAGGAGAACTGACTCAACAGTGGTTTTTTCAAAACAGGGATCGACTTCGAGCCCGTACGATTATTTCGCTACCAGTGGTTTTGTGTGTCCAGTATCCAAGGTGGAGTATTTGCCTTCAACATTCTTCAATGGACCCCCCGACTCCCACGGCTGAAGTTTTGACCCAAATTTGGATGGAGGAGATGGCTTTACCGTTTTGCCACAAGAAGGCCGGGCTTTTCTGGATAGATGCTGTGATGTTTGTGAAGTGAATGAAGGCCTCTTGGTCAAGGCTTGTTTTCACAACTGTCCAAGCCGCCACTGCTGCCACTAACCCTCCCAGAGCCATTGGTTCAGAGGATTCTTTTGAAGGATTGCACTGTTGCACCATGGTGGGATGTGATGCAAGAGCTCCACAAGACCTGCCGAGTGATAAAACGAAAGCACTTCCTGAGGCCTGTACCAACGGGAAAAAAGAACTAAACAAAATATAGGCGGCCATGGCCTACAGCCAAAAATGCCAGTAGCGTCGGCTCTCTTTGGCTAAAGGCAAAACTTGATCAGTTAGATCACCTTTCCGAAGGCTGCATTGACCGGACTGCTTTGTGACTATGCTGCCCGTGGCGACATCAGTGCCTTTCGAAGCTTGATTCACCAGGGAGCGGATGTAAATTCGGCAACACCCTATGACCTACGTACGCCTTTGCACTTGGCAGCTGCAGCCGGGAAGCCACCAAGATGAAAGGTTTTGGCATGCGTATGTTCTATTGAAAAGAGAAAAGAGCGAAAAGAATCCAGCCATTTCTGATTGTCGGGCAGTTGGGCAGTTGCATTTGTTTGTTCCCAGATTCCCCAGGCTTGACATGGTCAAGTTCCTTGTGGAAGACTGTGGCGCAGCATTGCGACAGGATCGATTTGGGTTGCTGCCGATACATGATGCGGTTGAGAACGGACACTCGGAGCTCAGACGTTATCTCCAGAGCCAAAAGCTCGCAGAGCCAAAGAACATGCAAAAGCGCAGAAGATTGGACTCTGGAGAGAACATCAATTCTGATGCCTGGATGCAAGAGGGAAATAATGTTAAGTCCCGTTCCGCACAGTTTCGATTTATTGGCCAGATTGAGCGAGGCAGAGTCTCGATTGGAACAAGAGATGGATGATCTAATGGGCACGGTTTTCGAGCTTGTGGTGAAAGAGGGTGTGTTCAGCTATACAAGTGTTCATGCGGAAGTTCTGCATTTCTTCAAAGTGCTCCGCTTTCATGAGACTCTCAGCAAAACTGCTGGTTTCTCGAAATGCTTTGGTCAAGGATGGTACAAGAATCATGTTTGGAGCAACGTTAAGCATTAACTTGTGCAGTTGTTTCCTTGACAAGGATTTACTTCCGACACTTTACTCCGCTGCAAATTGCAAAGCACGTTCATTGCCTTATTGCAGCCAAGCATGTGGCACGTGCTACAGATGACATTGGAGGTCTTGAGTTTGACTTCAAGCCGGGACCTCAAGACAGGCACGTTGAAATTCCTGCGACATTCTGCACCATTGTGATGACGTCATGTGAGTCATTTAGTGAACCTCCTTACCAAGAACCTCGCAGAGCGGCTTCTTCCTCAGCACTATAGGAAGCTGTCGCGAGCCCACAGGAGCATGATGAATCAATTATGTCACGGTCATAATTTTACTGTGCACACATGCATTCATACATATTCACACATACATATTTTTTCTCGCTCCTTTTCTGGTTTGCGCGGTCATGTGGCCATTTTGGCCTTGAAGCAAGTCGGTAGCGTGACTTGCTCTTGTGGTTCACCACATCGTTGCTTGAGCGCTTTGCTCTCCACCCATGTGCGCCTCCCTGTGATAGATGGCCGCGCCCTCGCGCCGCTCTAGCCGGTATTGTATGGGCCCGGCTTGATGCTGAGATGGCTTGAGCCTCACACACACACACATATATATATATATGCATGTTTCCAAGTTTCTAGGAGAATTCCAGACACCTGCCAACCCAATTCAGACTTCCGCAAAGTGCAAAGGAGCGCAAATGCAGACCATTGCTTCCGTGTCTGCCTTTGTCACCAATTTTATGGAAGCTAACCAGAACGTGGCCTTGCTGCAGGTTTCACATGGTTTCACAAGGTGATTCTTAAGGCCTTAAGGTTAACCTGGGGAACTTTGCAATCGCAAATCTCAAACTGACACCTACCAGTCCTCACCGACATGTAAACACGACTTGCCAGGTCTCGCTGATCTTCATGTCTTCCGAGGGACCTGTGTTCATTGGTGGGCAAGAAAAATTGGGCATTTACAGCGTTGAGACGGGTCATTTCGAGGCAACACGCGTGACGGAGGGGGAATCCAGCTTGGAAGTCTTAGCGTCTTCCAGATTCTTGAAAACAAAGACTCGAGAAGCCAAAGAGCAATACCAGATTGCCAAGAGCTTAGCTCACTGTGAATGAAAGACGTTGGTGGAAGCAAGGCTGTGCTGAACATGCAGTCTTGTCTTGGGAGTGTGGCCTCAACATGAAATGACAATGCGTATCAATGCGTCATCATGTTTCGATATTTTTCGCATTTTTTCGCATTTGGTTGGTCGCACTGGCCTGGGTTAGGTCATGGAGGATGTGGTGGCAAGTCGCCGAAGCGCTGTGCGAATTGTGCCCGGACATCTTTACCCTGGACCATGCCCTTTTGGCTACGTGGTCCTTTTCGCCACTGCAGAAACTGTGGGGAGGCACTACCTCCCCGAAATCTGGCAAGCCATGCGTTTCGTCGGGCTTCTTCCAAGACGCTTCTATTTTGAAAACTTTGCCAACGGCGTCATTACATACAGCCTTTTCTTTCCATCGGCTACAGATGACCAGGTGCACAAGCTGAAAAGGACCATCATGCACGCCACCTTACTGAAAGAGACTCCTGGAAGGTCGGCACTTTTGTACAACAACGTTATGCAATCAAGGACAGTGCTGTCATCATGGATTGATGGGCGATCATTTCACATGATACGTGCTTTGTGTTGAATAGGAATTTAGATGGTCCGATAGTGCGGACACTCAAGTGATCTCAAGTGCACGCGCACGGCAGAGCAGTGCGCGTGCACAGTCCATGGTCTCCGCGAACCTCACGTCACCATTCGCTTTTGCAGGCAAAGGCCGAACACAATCTGCAGCCTTGTGGATCAGCCAGTTGGCAGTGAGAGATTTCACGCCACACCTTGCTGTCAAGACGCAAGTAGCAAAATAGAACTCCAGCGCATCGGAAGTGGAACCTCAGTTCCAGAGTATTAGTATTGAACGACACAGACAAAACCTCCGACAGATCGAAAACGTTCGAAATCCATTTTAAAGCAATCATGAATCATGTAAAGTGGACGTTCCTTTCAGAATAATATATGTCTATACCCACTGGATCCCAACTTCATTGAGATCTCGATGATATGTCGGCGCAAGGATTGAGATTTGTCTTCAACGACCGCAGCGCGGTAGAGAAACCGCCAGTGTGCTTCCGCTAGCTTTCGACCTCCTCCCTTGGCCTCAAGTCTTGACATAGACCAGCCTAAACATCGACTGGAAAACTTCTTCGGGGTGGGAGCGCGGGACCTGGATCCACACAATTTTGTTGTAAAACTGCACCTCTAAGCTTTTTGCTTATTGTTCACCCATCCTTTTCTGCCGCGCTCGTTCACCTTCTCTTTCACCCTCTCTCACCTGTCTTTGCTTTACTGTTTCCTTATCACGTAAGCAAGCCTTACGCCAGAGCAATTCTACACTAAACGCTCTCGGGCTGTCCGTCGTCTAGTTGTAGTTGTAGTTGTTGTTGTCCTTTGTTTTCGAAAAAAGAGAGCAGGAGCCGACATCAACGTCGCTGCTTAGAACGCCTTTTGGTTCCCGCCGTTCCACATTCCGGTTTTCCTACCTTTCGTGTCTACTGCTTCTCAAGTGAATGGCAACGGGAACAGAAGGCGCCACGAGCGCAACCGCACGGCGAATTCCTGCTATGTGCAACTGCCTGCTGCCAAAAAGTGCATTGTGCGGCGCAGACCCTGGCCGACATCAGTTTGTGAGAAAAAGCCACATTGTTGGAGTGGTGCGGCACTGCACATTGTAAAAGCGCACCTGGTGAACAAGCACGGCATAGTCAGTACCCTAACTAGCGCAACTCCTTGGAAAGCAAAGCCGGGAGCCCAAAAAAGAAGCTTCAGTAGAAGCGGGCTAATTTTGGTCCTTCAATCTTGAAGGTCGCTATATGATTCTTTTATGTGTTTTTTGAATTTGTATACTTGTTATACGTATTTTCCCATTGGCGGCAGCACAACGGACAGAACAACAATAGGAAATGCAAAAAGTAATGTGCCCGGCTGATGTACACGTGGTTATATATGTTAGCTTTCGTCAGACCCTACTGCACTTGAGCTGGTGTATGCCAATCGTTTTACCTGCGAGGATATCTCACGAATGTGGACTTTACTTGCTTGCGGCCGTCAAGTTTGTGCACGCGTTCTTTCCCAAAGAGCAGTACTCAAGGGAATACACAGGCCATGAGGGGTTTTGCTTAAACTACACGACAGCGGTCACTGAGCTTTCGCTGATGTTGAGTTTCATGCCACATGCGTCAACCGGCCAAGGCGTCCACAAAGTTCTGGAGCAAAATCCTGCCGCCCAACGGAAGTTGGAGACATTGTACAGGCTTTGTATGAAGGATTTGCTCTCAACTGAGCGCATTTACCAGCTGATCAGCAAACGGCCAGCCCTCGCTGAGCAGTTCTATGCAGATTTTCGCAAGATAGCCCTTGGTCACGCACCTAGTTTCGATGAGCTCAGGGCCCCCGATTTTTTGCTGCATACTTGACAGCTGGCAATAATAGGATTGCCAGTTGGTGCCATGTGGTTTCTTTTTGTTTTTTCATCTCGGCGGAGCACGTACATCGCACGCTGCATGATTTAAGTATGGGCCAGGTGATGGTGGCTAGTGGGAAAGATTCCATTATTTGTTTATTTGCCGAGGTGAGATAGAGCCCACCTTCAACAAAGAGCTCGGTACGTCCATTGATGCAGCTTGCAGTGATCCTCAGGATCGTCAAATCTTGAGGACTGGTTGGGGACTGTTCGTCCGATTTGGAAGTTGCTCTCAGAGATTAGCAGCTTAGCAAGTGTTGATGCCAGAATCCTGTACTGGGCACTGGACACTTGTTTAAAGAGGCTGATGTCTCCTTTCCGAAAGGCCGGCTAGGCAATCACGATCAGCACAGCGGGAGGATGTTCCTGACATTCAACGAGAGCGTGCTCCTAACCAACTTCTTCAAACCTGATATTCCGGGTGCCTTTGCATTCCGCTTGAATCCGGCAGTTGCCTTGAAGCAACGACCGGCATCATTATACCCTGAAGTTCCATATGGGCTGCTTGGCAACCTCAGCAATGAATTTATTTCAAGTGATGCTGTTTTTCGAAGCCTGAGCTCAGGATCTACATGATTTGCGGCCGTGATTTCATGGGTTTTCACACCCGCTTCCGCGATGTAGCACGCGGCGGCATTCGATTGATCCTCTCTCGGGACAAGGCAATGTATGAGCGAAACTTTGCAACCCTCTTCGATGAGTGCTACAACCTGGCATACACGCAGCAGAACAAGAACAAAGACATTCCAGAAGGCACAATCACGATCATATGCATATCATAGCTTGACAGCTGGTGTGATATGCTTGGGCCAGGTGGCGCCAAGGGAGTGATTCTCCCCGACTCCTGTTGGTCGGGACGAAAGGAAGGAGATGGAAACGCGCTCATTGGAATGACTTCCCAGGGCCCTGCTGCAATGCGAAACTCGGCACCATTGGGAGCAGAGGAATAGGCATTTAGAAGCATCCTGCTTTGTGTTTTTGAAAGGCAGACTGTACGGTTTCCGAAGGCTCCTGCTTCATAAACTATGTCAACGCACTCCTCGACTGCATGCAGCCTGAGCAAAACCATTTGTACTCTGGGCATATGAAGAAGAAGGCGGAGATCCTTTTCTTTGGCCCGGATGAAAACACGGCCGGGTGGCTTGTTTCCTTTTCAGGTTTCTCATTCCTGTATCGGATAGTAACTATGTACTCCAATGTGTTGTTTCACTCTTTGATACTTTTTGATTATGCCATCAGACGTGAGCAGGGTCATTGAATGTTGCATTGTTTAAGTTAATTTTCCGTGTTCGGTGCTTTTGGAGCCCGTAGACAGAGCTAGAATCTAAGGTTCATGGATCTGGGCGCCGACATTGCTCGGGAAAGAGCTTATCCATATTGGAAATCGTTGACCACGGGCAAGAGCGTATCATTAGGTGCGTGCTTGTACCTGTGAGAAATGCTGCACTGCTGTTTTGATGCAGGTGGGGTGCCTCATGATACCTACGCTATGACTACAACCAGCGTTCACACCTATGTCACTGAGCTGTTGCGGGAGCTGGGCGAGGACAACAATCCCTTGTGCGAGAATGACGAATTTTCTCACCCATGGTTCCTTATGTCAATCTGTGCGCTTTTTGCTCCGTTGGAGTGCTTGCCAGGATGAATGCAGCATCACCAAATTTCAAACTGGCGGACCTGATGGCGATTTGGGCTCAAATGAGATTCTGGTATCGAAGGACAAGACCATAGTTCCTGAGCTTGTGAAAAGATCTAAAAAAAGGGAAGCTAGGTGCCCAGAGAAGAGCACTGCAGAGAGAGAGAGAGAGTTCAATGTCCGGAAAGTATCAGAAAGTTGTAAGGCCATTGTGGATGGCTCCGGGGTTGTGTATGACCCACATGGCATTGATCGCGCTGAACTCCGGCGACTGGCAAAGATGAGGGTTCCAATCAGCCAGTTCAATCGGTCCATGCTCAAGCGCCATAGCTGCTATAATCCTCTATTGTATCTCGTCCAATTCTTCGGACATGTTCAGTATTGTGTCAACGTCCGGTGTTCCAAGAATCTTGATGCGGTGAGGGCTTCTGCGAGGCCTGAAGGGTTCCTAGTCACTGTGGAGGAGACCGACGTAGCTTTGCCAGATGGCTCAAAATACCTCACTGGAGCTGAGCGACTTAGAGAGATTAGGAGAGCATCCTTTATATTATTGTCATGTGCAATAGTTTTAGCTCTCCGGCAGAGCTGTGCATCTTAGGCTGCGAGATTCCTTTCATTTATCTCCATATGCGACTGCAGACCTATTTGTTCCATGCGGCGGTCGGCCAAACTCAATTACAACAGACAATGTGAAAAAGCTGTTCCATGCTGATGGTGTCAAGCCCAAATTTCGGATGATTGCCACTTATTTGCAAGGTGTTTATGATTGTATACTCAGGGTGCGTTTGTGTGTGTGCATGCCCCCCTATACTGAAAACAGGAAATCCATTGCACCGACCCGGCGAGAGACACTCCAAGGTGGAAGGAGCCAATCTATTTTTGTCAGATGGTGCAAGGGTGACTTTGGAGAATTCTGGTATGCATGTGTTCAAAGATGCATCCACGAACAAGGCGAAGGGTGAAGTGGAGTGAAGAGCAAGTGTCGAGAGTTTCTCCTGTTGCGGAGCGATGCCTTCTTGAATCTTCTTGATAATACTGTCAGCAAGCATGAGCATGCACCAAGCGTTCAAGTTTACAACTGGATGTAGTTTGGGATTTGTTTTGCTTCGATCATGCTCGTCACAGGGCGGGGTGAACAGCAGCTCGCTTGAAGTCTTTGCTGGCTTGGCGTTGCTGCCGGAGGAGCACAATGCACTCATGTGCTACAACCCTCGGACAGGCACTCTCCAGGGTCGGGCGATCGTAATCGCCATATTATTTGGTAATAACTCATAACCTCACGACCCTCAGGATGTGCTTTGTAATGTATGCATATTATGGCAAGAATATGTCAATATTTATTTAGTTATTTAGGTGTGCGTGTGTGTGCGTGTAACCCTTAGAATCATAGGGTGCCTCTTTCCAAATGACAGGATGTTTGCTCCTTTGGCCTCCCTTTTTCTTTCTATATATATATATAGTAATTTTAAATGTTGCAGGGGCACGGAGACGGATTTCTTATCCGTGCCAACGAAGCTGCGGCAATCAGTTGGAAGAGAGTTGGGACTGACACCAACTCCTGTGTCTTGGTTGCCTCTTCTGGAGTTTCGAAGGCTGTTTCAAGGTTTTGTGAGGCCATGCTGCAGTAAAGGGCTAGCGCATTCTGCGGGCAAGCGGCCGTCGACCAATCCGATTCGTTGTATCGCGTGGAACCTGTTGACCTTGGCTTGGAAGCATTGCGGCCAGACGCCGCTCCATACCCCTGTCTACCTAGGCGTTTTGAATTACGTAGGCAGCTTGAGGGCAAAGAGCTCAAAGTTACCGGGATGTTGGACAGAGCAGGAGGCTATAGCAACCGTAGGAGCCGGCAGCGGGCGGACTGAGCCTGCCAGGGCTATGCAGGCAAAGCAGACCTGTCGAAGTTTACATACATGAGTTCAATTGAGCTTAGCATTTCCGCCCCGACAAATGGCTCTTCGCACCGTCGCCGCCGGCCTGATCGTGAACATTTTTATGCCTACCACACTCTGGAACTCACTTGGGCTCTCCTTTGACTTCGCTTACGCATCCTCGATGCAATGTCTTGGGGAAACCCCATATCCTCACCCAACTACGCGGGATGGTTCCATTTTGGTTTTCGCAGGCCTCACAAGCTACGACTACTGCAATGATGTGCACCCGGGAGGTTCCTGCTACAATGGGCACGCTTCATACATGAGACTTGGCGGGCATTGGCCATTGATTGGCCTTGAACAGGACCTTTGCGGTCGCCTTAATTTCTCTTCACCGTCACTTCGCACCAGTCCCGCGAACCATGGAATTCCTCATCTACATCCACGGGAGCAGGACGCCTTCAGCACCGTTCACGCACTTCTTGAGAACCTCTTGATCGCGTTCGAACTCCGGGTGCCCAGACACAAATGAGTCTCGCTTTGCATCTCACACTCAAGAGCCGTATTATTTTCCTCTTCCCCCACCACCGTGGTTCCTCTATTTTTTTGACCCTTGGGCAATTCCATCCTTGCTCTACCTTTAGCTGACAGGTTCCTTGCAAAGCGGCTACTTACACGTTGAGGTCTTTGAGTTGGTCGTTTTCTACATGTCATTCGACCATCTCGATACCTTTCAACTGAATTTCCCCCGCTTGAATTTTGCAAGCGCCATCTTCATTGAGCACAGACACCTAGACTTAAACTGACACACAATGTTTGCCTTCCTCCAGCACATTTTGAGAAGGTACATCTTTTTTTCTATCCCCGCACTACATACAACCGAGTCGATTGGGATGAGGAATGTCGAACATTAGACCTTCTGCAGGATCGCTTCATAACTCCACCGCGCTCCTCCCCACGAAAAGATCACTCCCTCTCTCTCACACTCCAGCCTTCTTGGCCACAAGTGATCACCCACTTCTGGCGCCTACAAAGTCTGCATTTTAGGTGCTCTTCGCGCCAATGCGTGGAAGCGTGCAGCTTAGCCAGGACATTCAATATCGATCACCGTCCCCATTGCGTTCCAGGCTCAATGACCTGTTACCTTCCTGTGTCATTTTTTGCACAATCCCGGCGTGGAATTTTGATTCACCTGCGCGCGATTAAGATGTGTGGATTCAGGTCCTGCCCCGCTCGACGAAATGGTCCTGCCCCAAACAAATCTTTCAGCCGATGTTTGCGCAGGAATATTTCAAGGCTGAAACTAGTTTGTATGGATTCAAGCCTTGTCCCGAAGAAGTCTTACAATCGGTGTTTTTGTAGGTTTAATCCTGTCCACCTAATAAACTAGACGACGGGTGGCCCAAGAGCGAGAAAAAGAAAAGATGTAGATGTTAAGTTTGTAGATGTGGAACATGAATTTTTTAGTTTCTGATGATTTAGGATGTAGAAGTGGTGAAGAAGATACAAGAAGAGGTGAGAAGAAAGGAGAAGAGAAAGTAGGTATGAAGTGAGATCTGTGAGAAGATGTGATGACAGGAACAAGTGGCGTAGAGGAGGTGCGCAGATGTAGCAGAGGCGAAATGAATGAGAAAACGCAATTGTAAGTTATGAAAAGTTAGACATATAACGCTGAAGTGCCGAGAAGAAAAGACTTGTCAACTCTAGCATATTGACTGTCAAGACTTTACAGCTGATTACATCCCAAACTCTTGTGTCGGTGTATTTCTCCCTGGGTAGTTGACTCGCCCCACCGACAGGGATCAACCAGGCTCACCTGCTTTCAGGTGCCCAGGCTTGCAGTAGAGTCAGTAGAGGTCCACAGTCTCGAATATCCGGTATGGGAAAGTCCCCCCCCCATGTAGTATAGTCTTGCCCAGCGCGCGCATCGCCTGGTGAAGGGCGGATAGAACAGGTCTAAACGTTCAAAAAAAACAGTTGACATCTTGACGGACTGTTGCAAATTCAAAAGCAAAAGACTCCATGCGGTGGATAAAATTTAAACAAAAGATAATGAGGAAGGAAAAACAGGATGGTCTCAAAGATTGTTGTTTGGTTTGTTAGTTTGTTGGTTTGTTTGTTTTTAGTTTTATATTCAAAATAAAGTAACTCTCTCTCTCTCACCCACCGTTTGCCTCGCGCGGCCCGCCCATGAAATGCCGGCAGTCGTGTCCATCCCTACTCCTTCCCAAAACTTTGAAAACTTTGCCCCCTGCACTTGCGCGAGCTAAGTTTAAAAATGGCCGCGCCAGGACGAGTCATGGAAAAGAATACACCTAACACCTCAAGGGCAAAGAACAAGATTAAGGATAACAAATCCTATCTTTGTGAGGAGAGCCTTGTCAGAGAGACTGGTCATGTATGATGCGTCCAAGATAGTCTACCCAAACTCTGAAAGCGGAGAACTGAATCGATTCCGAAAGTCTTGCCCATATAGCTGGTGATATTCTTTTTCGTTGACGTGAAACCACTATATGAGAGCTTCTTCAGGCATATCTGATCGTAACTCTATAAACCCATGCATCGCATAGGTCTAACTCCATCGCAGTTACTTCAGACATATCTGATTGTAACTCTACAAACCCGTGTTTTGCATAGTGTGAACTGTCTGACTTTCAAGTTGCGGAAAGTTGCTCCCTCTCGTCAGACGTCAAATGCTTCGAAATTGTTTCATTCAAATGCCACCCTAAATACTTCAGAAATCTCAAGGCGCTCTCTGCACTGCGCGCCGCCAGTTTCGCGCTAACCAGTGGCAAAAGCCGCGCAAATGCGCATGGCGCTGCGACATCACGAACGTAATTTCGCCACATGGTCTGCCCACACACTACAAGCAATCATATCACGCGATACCGCCAATCATCCCGCTCACCAGCGACACGCCGCGTTTACACCAGCA